GGGGAATAATCTTGGGCAAGTTACATACAACTTTCTGAAGAATTGTTTCCTTGTTTATTAAGTGAAGAACTTCTTCACAGGGTTGTGGAAGGAGTGAATCAGGCAGATCAGAAAATCAAAGTGTTTGCTACTTTAAACTTTTGTTTTGTTCACTTCAGTATTCCAAGGTCCAAAGATGGTACCTGACACCTAGAAGTACTCAAGAAATGTTTGTTGAGGGACCAGGGTTGTGGCTCAGTGGTAGAGCGCTTGCCTAGCATACATGAGGCACTGGGTTTGATTCCCCAGCATTATATGGAAATAGACAAATACAATAAAGGTATTGTGTCCATCTACAACTAAAATAATAACAATAATATATTTTTTAAAGAAATGTTTATTGAATGAAAGCAAACTTGATTTACTTGTTTTCAGGAACCTTCCTGGGTTAGTCTACCTAATTGATCCAGAAATGTATCAGTAATGTATCAAGTAATGATAATCGAGTCCTTACAAATGGAATGCTTAATAGAAAGTCAAAATTGAAACTCTGCTTAGAAAACTAAGAAAAATGCTGAAAAATGACAAGTCAACATAAAAAAAATCACAAAACAGTGTGACCAGTAAAAAAATGGTATTAGTGCATTTAAAAAAATGGTATTAGTGCATTTAATTAGTGCACATTGGAGTAGCACAGAAGGTGGGGTGGGAAAAGGATAAAACCATCACAGTTACAGCCTTTCTCCATCTAATCCATTCTTCTTATACATGGTCTGAGAGAACTTTTTTTTTGTACTGGAGGTTGAACCCAGGGGTGCTATACCACTGAGCTATATCCCAGACCTTTTTATTTTTTATTTTGAGACAGGATCTTATTAAGTTGCTTAGGGCCTCACTAAGTTGTTGAGGCTGGCCTCAAACTTGAGATCCTTCTGCCTTACCCTATCAAGTTGATGGGATTACAGGTGTGCAACACCATGCCTAACTGAGACACTTACTAATAGCCCAAACCTCTGCTGTTCTAGGCATCAAAATGGTACTCTGACCTAAGGACATACAACTCTTTCATATAGTACTAAGATGCTGCCTATGTTCTAGTACCTGTTCCCTTTATCTCTTTCTTTTTATAGCTCATACATTGCTTTTTTATTTTTATTTTTTTAAGGTAATGCCTTTTTTATTATTAGTTGCTCATGACAATACAATGATCTTGACATATCATATATTTGAATCAAATGGGGTATGAATTCTCATTTTTCCAAGTGTACAGGTTGCAGAATCATATTGGTTATACGGCCACGTATGTACATACAGCAATACTAGTGTCTGTTGTATTCTGCTGCCCTTCCTATCCACCCCTCCCCTCCCACCACCTCTCTCTACCCAATCTAATGTGACACATTTCCTTTTTTTTTCCTTCCCCCTCACATCATACATGTATTTTGTATAACGATGGGGGTCTCCTTCCATCTTCCATGCGACTCCCCTTCCCCCTCCCATTCCCTCTCACCTCTCTTCCCTATTTAGTGGTAATCTTCTTCTCATGCTCTTCCTCCCTACTCTATTTTGAGTCAACCCCCTTATATCAGAGAAGACATTCGGCATTTGTTTTTTAGGGATTGGCTAACTTCACTTAGCATTATCTGCTCTAATGCCATCCATTTCCCTGCAAATATCATGATCTTGTTATTTTTTAGTGCTGCGTAATATTCCATTGTGTATAAACGTCACATTTTTTTTTATCCATTCATCTATTAAAGGGCATCTAGGTTGGTTCCACATTCTAGCTACTATGAATTGTGCTGCTATAAACATTGATGTGGCTGTGTCCCTATAGTATGCTCTTTTTAGGTCTTTTGGGTATAGTCCGAGAAGGGGAATAGCTGGGTCAAATGGTGATTCCATTCCCAGCTTTCCAAGGAATCTCCATACTGCTTTCCAAATTGGCTGCACCAATTTGCAGTCCCACCAGCAATGTACAAGTGTACCTTTTTCCCCACATCCTTGCCAGCACTTGTTATTGTTTGACTTCATAATGGCTGCCATTCTTACTGGAGTGAGATGGTATCTTAGAGTAGTTTAAATTTGCATTTCTCTGATTGCTAGAGATGGTGAGCATTTTTTCGTGTATTTATTGATTGATTGTACATCCTCCTCTGAGAAGTGTCTGTTCAGGTCCTTGGCCCATTTGTTGATTGGGTTATTTATTTTTTTGTTGTTTAACTTTTTGACTTCTTTGTATACTCTAGAGATTAGAGCTCTACCTGAAGTGTGAGGGGTAAAAATTTGTTCCCAGGATGTAGGCTCCCTATTTACCTCACATATTATTTCTCTTGCTGAGAAAAAACTTCTTAATTTGACATCCTATTTGTTGATTCTTGATTTTAACTCTTGTGCTATAGGTGTGCTATATTTGTTCCCTTTATCTCTGAGAACTCCACTGATCAAGAAGATAGCCACTTGCACATGGGGCTACTAAGCATTGAAAAAGTGATTAATTGAAATTAAGATGTGCTGTATAAGTGTAAAAAAGAATATAAAATATTTTAATTTTATCATGATTACATGTTATTCTTATAAATGTATCAGATTAAATAGAATACACTGTTAAAATCAAATTGACTTGTTTCTTTTACTTTTTCTTAAATGCTGACACATTTCTCCCCATACACATAATCTTTTTTTAAACTTTATTTTTGTGTTCAGTTTTTTTTCATGTGGTGCTGAGATTCCAACCCAGTGCCTCACATGTGCTAGTAAAGCACTCTACCAATGAGCCACAACCCCAGTCCCTCTTTTACTTTTTAAATGACTACATATGCACCTCAGAAGAATGAAACTCAACTTCTACCTCTTATCAGTTAAAAAGTTAACTCCAAATAGATGATGATGAGGAGGAGGATGATGATTACTTCTGTTTGTACTGGAGATTGAATCTAGGGGTGCTTTACTACTGAGTCATATCCTCAGCCCTTTTTATTTCTTATTTTGAGATAGGGTCTCACTAAGTTGCTTAGGGCCTGACTAAATTGCTGAGATTGGCCTCCAAAGTTTCTGGCATTGTGGATGTGTACCACCAGGCCCTGCTAGCTTAAAGACTTAAATGTGAGACCTGGAACTATAAAAATGCTATGCTAGAATAAAACATAGGAAATGCTTCAGGACACTGGACTGTGCCAGAATTTGGGGCACAAGACCCTGAAAGCACAGAAAGCAAAAGCAAAAACTGACGAATGGGACTATATCAAACAACAAAGTTTCTTCACATGAAAAAAGGAAACACTCATCAGAATGAAGGGACAATAGAACTGGAGAAAACTATTTGTAAACTATATATCTGACAAGAAAGATATTACACAGAATATGTAAAGAACTCAAAAAACTCAATAGCAAAAAGCCAATAACCAGATTTAAAATATTATTAATGACCTAAATAGGCATTTCTCAAAAAAAACAAAACAAACAAACAAAAAAAAACAGAATCCAAAATGATCAACAGGTATATACAAAAAAAGAGGTCAACATCACTGTCATCAGGGAAATGCTAATCAAAACCACCAAAGATATTACTGGAGTTACTAATAATGGCTATAATCAAAAAGACAAAAGCAAACTAACGCTGTCAAGATTTTGGAGAAAGGGAAACCCTTGCATGTCATTGGTAGAAATGTGAATTACTATTATGGAAAACAGTATGTAGGTTCTTCAACAACTGAAAATAAAACTACCTACAATCCAGTGATTCCCGCCAGCCTCAGAAACTTAGCAAGACCCTAACTCAAAATAAAAAAATAAAAAGGGCTAAGATGTGGCTCAGTGGTTAAGCAGTGCTGGGTTCAATTCTGAGTACCAAACTAAATAACTAAATAAATAAATGAACAAATAAGTCAATGAGCTCTTCTGCATGCCCATGTTCACTGCAGCATTATGTACAATAGGCAAGAAATGAAAATGACCTAAGGGTCCATCAAATGATGAATGGATAAAGAATATATGGTATGGTAAATATAATGGAATACTCTTCAGCTATAAAAAATAAATAAATAAAATCCTGTTACTGGCCACAATAAAGATGGAACTGGAGATCATTATGTTAAACGAAATAAAGCAAGCACAAGAAAGTCAAGTACCATAAGATCTCACTCCTATGTGAAATTATAAACAACTTGATCTCATAGAGTTTAAGAGTAGAATGCTGGTTAACACAAGCTGGGGACAGCAGGGTAAAGAGGGATAGGCAGAGGTCGATGGGTACTAAGTTACAGGACAGATACAGATAGAAGTTCTGATGTGCCATTGCACAGTAGAGTGAAAGAAAGGTTCTTGAATGTTTTTCCCGTAAAGGAATGATAAATGTTTGAGGAGACAAATTTGCTTACCCGGACTTAAACATTACACAACGTATACATGTATCGAAACATCCGACGGTACCCCATAAATATTTTACTTTTTATGCATGAGTCTTAAAATAAATATGTTTCCAAAAAACTTAAAATACAAATGTGACTTGCATTGTTTCCATTGGACACTCCCCTTTCCCAGCTCTAACTTGCCACGTGAATAAACTACTTGCCCTTCTGGTTGGACCGTTCGTCTGCCCCAGACTTCCCAGCCTTTGACTAAAGCACTGTGCGCTCTTCTTTCCCCTGGGTGGCTGTTTTTGCGGATTCTTCAGATGGTGGTTTTTAACCACCGCTTTCCCCAAGAGGAGTCCTGGGTCTCTACCATATCCCCTGCAAGACCTGACTCGAGTCTCCGACACGAAAGGATAATCCAGCCCACAGCACTCAGTATCTTGTCTCTGCAGTGGCGGGTCTTCTGGTCTGTCTGTCCGCGACAAGACTGGAAGCTCCTTGCGGAGACACAGACCTCAGAAAGGCCGTCTTCCACGCCTCGTCGCCAGAGCCCAGCGGAGCAGGCTCTCCGCCTAACAGATGAGCGGCCGGAGTGGGACAGAGAAAGGACGCGGGGAGTACAAAGTCGCAAAGGGTACAGAGCCGCACGGGCGAGGTCGGACTCACCAGTCGGTGGTCGAGTTCGGCGTCCGGCAGTTTCCCCGTAGGCTGCGAGTACTCGGCGTAACGCAGCGTTTCGCTGGAAGCGACGCCACCGCCGGCAGCCATGGCAATGTGGTCCCGGGAAACGCGCTGGGCCGCCGCCTACGAGGCGGCCGCAGGGACAAACTAGTCAGACTGGTTAATTTCGCGATTTTAGTGGCTTCTTCATTGGCCAAGTTGGTGAAAGAGGAACAATAGAGCAAGTTCCCACTTCCCTTCCGGCCAATCTGTCCCTATCAGAGACAGGGTCATACTCTGAGGGGAGGGTTCCGGAACGTGTAGGCTTTTTGTTTGTTTGCCACCAAAGGCAAAACTGGGGCACCTGGGACATTGCATGGTGGCCGCCGCCCCAGGTCGCCGCAAGGCCTGGGCTTCCAACCTGTGGTCTGAGGTGGGTCTAGTGGGATGTCTGGGCCCGGAGACAGGAAGCCCACTGTAGTGCCAGAGAGCGGTGCCTGCCTTTCTTCCTACCCGCAACTGGTCACACTTCTGTTTAATGCCTCAATTCTCCCACACAGGAGGAGGCAGTTAGATAACTCCACCCCCATAGATGAATGGCTACATTTATGGTGAAATTAGAAGAAGCTGGTAAGCGAGTACATAAATCTCACTCCCTACCAGTTTTGTGCTTACTTGGATGGAGAAAGACCCTCTGTATTATTAACTTTAAAGTCAAGCTTTTTGGGTAAAAAATTAAGCAACATTTGAAGCTTGTATAGTGTTCCCAGCCCCTATACCAACTTGGGAACACTTTAGCCCTTTAGTGCAAAATCAGCTAAGGAGAAGTCTTTTTTTCCCCCCTATTCCTGAATTAAAGGTTTTAAGTGTCATTCATTTCTGAATGTAGTTAATTTTATTATAACTTCTAAGAAGTTAGGGAGTGGAGGATTTCACAATTTAATAGGGAAGATAACATTTACACCCTGTTAATACCCTTTCTGATAATTGCCCTTTCTGACTGGACCTTTGTCTGCCCCAGACTTAAGCATATGCATTGTTCAGCAATACTGAGACCTGGAGAGGGTATTAGCATGTGGTTCCTCTTTTAGGTTTTGTGTTCCTGAAAATGCTCATTAACCTCTCCAAATCTCTTTATCTGTAGGAGGGGAAGAACATTTGTCCAACATTCTGACTCAGAGAAGTTGTAAGGGTAAAAAAGGAAAAGGGCTACTTGGACTGAGGCAGGAGGATCACAAGTTCAATGCCAGCCTGAATAACTTAAGTGAGACTGTCTCAAAATAAAAACAAAAAGGACTGGAGATGTAGCTCAGTAGTAGAGGGCCCTTGGTTTCAATCCCCAGAATCCTCCCACCCCACTCCCAGAAAAAAAGAAAGGAAAAGAAGGGAATGGGAAAATGGAAACAACAACTGCAGTGTTTGAGTTTAGAGGAGGAAATGGCTACTTTTAGAGGGGTTGTCAGAGAAGATTTGGTAGAGGTTCACCCATTGAAATGGTCAGTAAAGATGTCAGAAATTTCAGCTAGAAACAAACACAAAGAAATGAAAAAGGTGTCATGTAGGACTGTGTTAAAAGTATTCCAAGGATCTTCAGAGACATAATCTTATTACAGAAATTAATTTTTATTAAGCCAATTCCTAACTATGAAGGATACTGATAAATAAATCAGATGAATTATATTGGGGCCTCTAGGTCATTTATTCATTCAGTCAATAAATATCGAGCATCTGTTAGGTCTCAGGCAATGCTGGATATTGGGCCTTTAACATCAAGGCAAACAAATAAGGTCTCTGGGTCCTTGGAGTTTATAGTCTGTCAGAGGTTTATGACATACCCTAGCAGCTGGGTCCTAGCAGTCACAGGCTTCTGTCCTAGAGCAAATGAGCAATTAGATCAGACCCAGGTGAACTGTAGCTACCCCCCCCACCCCAGTTGCCCTTGCTCAAGAATTGGGGGGAAGTTCTCCCCCCCCAAAAAAAAACCAAGAAAAGGGGAAAGGGATGTTGTGGTGATAAATACAATCAATAAGAATGTAAGTTATAGTTTATACATTAGTAAAAAATATAGATTATAGATATAAGACTTTGATAAGTGAGATAAGAATTATAAAGCAGAAACTGTCATAGATAGGCCTAAGATTCCATTTTGCTGCCTTCTATAAAAAACTGTTACAAGAGCTATTTCTGAAACTGAAATGAAAGCTGTTTTCCTATTAGAAAATTTGTTTTCCTATTAAAAAATTGTCTTTCTGTACTTTGTACCCCACAAATTTACTCAGGATGCAGTGGTGGTTATGGTGAGCTATATCCTGGGTGTGAAGGCCCTTGTGGGTCTACATGACTTTGAAATTAATTCTTGCCCGACTGACTCCCTCCAAAATTCAAGATGCGAGTGTCTAGCACCTGCTTGAACCCAGGACTGTGGTCAACTGAAGTACAAAGCAAATGGTTTTTTAGCTTCCATTTATTGCTTGCTTGCTGACTGGAAAATTCCAGTCCTGCCTAGAGCCCACAAGTCCCACTTATTAATATTTTAATTTCTCTGATTGGCTAGCTTAAATGACGATAAGCAAGTCACTGAATTGTGGTTTTTGTGCTTATATTCTCTTTGGATGGACCAGGAAGCTGCTGTCCTCCCACAGAGCTTGAGTCTCTGGGGTAGGTGACAATCCCTGGCCCAATAAATAAAGATCTCTTTTGATTTGAAATTTGGGCTTAGAGTGAGTGCTTTCTGAGGTATCTCCCCATAACAGGGAGAACTAAGCTTCAGAGAGAATAGCAAGGTCAGAGCTAGAAGGTGGGCTCAGCAGGGTTGAATCTCTCAGGTCAGATCCCTGCCTGAGAGGTCAGAGTTATTGTTGGCTGCTTCTCAACTTCACTGACCCCATTCTACTGCAGCCTCAGGTATCTTACAGAAGTAGCCCATTTTTAAAGAAAATCTCCTCCACAAATCTCATTCCTTAATCTTTGGTTCTTTAATAGGCTCGCCTTTACTAGCAAAGAGAAGATAGACAAAAGAACAATGAAGTCTAAAAGGATCTCTCCCTAATTTAGCTACACTCCCTTTTCTGGTTCCTTGAGAATGAGGACAAATGCTTTTTGTGAAATTCAAAGGGGAGGCCCTATTAAATTTTCATTGGCTTATTTTTATTAATTGTACCATTTTAAATTTGTTTCGTCTCAAAGACAGATTATATTATGTTCAATAGATTTTATTAAAGAAAAAAAGTGAAAAAGTATTTATTATTTATTGTGGTTCTAGGACTTGAAACTAGAGGCACTCTAACCACTGAGCTACATCCCCAATCCCTTTTAAATTTTTTTATTTTGAGACAGGGTCTCACTAAGTTGTCAAGGTTGACTTTGAACTTGTGAGGGTTCATAATACTAATAATACATTGTTGTGGGGGTAGAGGAGTCTGGACAACGGGGAATTAGCAGGAAGCAGTTTATTGGCTGGTTCAGAAGGCAGGCTTTCACCACATTCAATCAATCCCTCTGAACCCCGAGTTCAGAAAGTTTTAGAACTTTATACCCAGTATGAAGGGAGAGGGGCTCAAAGGCTCACAATCCACAGAAGGACACATAACAGTAGGGTTTTGTTTTGTTTTTCCTACTGTTCTGGGCAACCAATTCAGGCCAAGGACACTCTCTGAAAATCAGTGCCATGAAAAGGAAGAGTTCTCCTCCTCCTTTCTTGTTGCTGGCTTCCTGGCCAATGCCTCTGTGAAGGCCTTGGGCTAGTCTTTCTTATGGACTCTGCCTCTGCAAGCATACCCCCCCACACCACCTGAAAATTCTTTTGCAGAAGTTTTGCTGAGAGTCTAAGAAAAATTATGGCAAGGGTCTCTGGAGAAACTTAATTAAATTTTTCTGTGGAGGAGGGGGTTGCCACTACAACATTAAATATTATATTTTAACATCATATACAAATCAGTTTTTTTTGGCTCTTGACTCAGCTTCCCGCTTGACTCAGCTTCCCGAGTCACTGGTTTTAAAAAGTGCTTTAATATTTTGCTGTTTTAGCAAATAAACAACAACAACAACAAAAACTCCATCTCTCTGTGCCTCAGTTTCCTTATCAAAAGCAAGCAATAAAACCTCCCTTGTGAAGGTTAAATGAATTGACTTTGTAAGCTGTTGGAACAGTGCCTGATCTCAGTAAGTTCTTTTTTTAGATTTTTTTTTTTTAGTTGTCAATGGACCTTTATTTTATTTATTTATATGTGGTGCTGAGAATCAAACCCAGTGCCTCACACATGCTAGGCAAGTGCTCAGCTACCACTGAGCCACCACCCCAGTCCCCTCAGAAGTTCTACTAAAGTAACAGTTACTATTTTCTTTATACTACCTCTTTCATTATTTATTTTTCTTCTTATCATCCTACCTCCACCAGCAGTTGAACATTATAAAATTTGAAATTATAAAATTTGATGTAACATTAAGTAGTGATAAACTGTACATATGGGAGTTAGTATAAAAATGAAATCAAATATCTTGGAAAGGCCTGATAAAATCGAGTTATTGAAAAAGAAAGCTGTGGCACAGGGGGGCATGGGAAGGAAATCACAAAAATTGAATCTGATTCTACATTCAGTTTGCCCTTGTTCCTTCTTCATTTTAAATAAATCCTAATTAGGAATCCTAGAGGAAGGGTTTTGATTTCAGAAGAGGGCAAAACTGAATCAGAGGACCCACATCCACATAAAATTCTTTGACCCTGCAAATATAGAGTACATGAATAGATAGACAATGTATCTGAGGTAGTAATACACACTGTTTTATGTATTAAAGTGTTACTGAGGTAGGAAGACAGTTATTAGGGAAAAAATGTCTTAAAAAAAACTCTTTGGAGGGCTGGGGATATAGCTCAGTTGGTAGAATGCTTGCCTTGCATGCACAAGGCCCTGGGTGGGCTCATATCCCTAGTACCCTAAACAACAACAAACAAACAAACAAACAAGAAACCTCTTTGGAGAAGATAATGAAAAAAAAACTTGAGAAATTGATTTATACATACTGATAAAAATGATATTTGATTTAGTATTATAAACAGATTTAACTTTTTAATTTTTTTTTTCAATTAACTCACCAACCACCGGTTAGGGAAGAGTCTGGATTACAGTGGGCACAAAGGAGAAGGTGTCTGGGATGCTTAAAGGAGGAGTGAGAAAACTGGCACTCAGATGACAATGGAAGGATGACACAGGTTTGCTGCA